AGTAGAGTAGAGTAGAGTAGAGTAGAGTAGAATAGAATAGAATAGAATAGAATAGAATAGAATAGAATAGAATAGAATAGAATGGAATAGAATAGAATTCTTTATTGGCCAAGTGTGATTGGAGACACAAGGAATTTTGCCTTTGGTGCAGATTCTCTCAATGTAGATAAAAACACAAGATACATTCATCGAGAATCATACAGCACAACACTTAATGATAATCATAGGATACAAACAACAAGCAATCAGGAAACCATCAATATAAATCATAAGGATACCAGCAACAAAGTTACAGTCATGCAGTCATAAGTGGGAGGAGATGGGGGATAGGAAGGATGAGAAGATTAATAGTAATAGTAATGCAGCCTTAGAGAATAGTTTGACAGTGGTGAGGGAATTAGTTGTTTAGCAGAGTGGAAAAAACTATCCTTCTGTCTAGTTGTTCTGGTATGAAGTGCTCTATAATGTCGTTTTGAGGGTAGGAGTTGAAACAGTTTACGTCCAGGATGTGAGGAGTCTGTAGATATTTTCACGGCCCTCTTTTTGACTCATGCAATGTACAGATCCTCAATGGAATCCAACCACATGGAAAATAGTCCTTAACATACAACCACAATTGAGGCCAAAATTTTCATCATTAAGAGAAACATTTGTTCAATGAACTTTGCCCCATTTTACAACCTTTCTTGTACCGTTGTTAAGTGAATCCCTGCAGTTGTTACGTTAGTCATATGGTTGCTAAGCGAATCCCCATTGACTGTGTTTGTCAGGTTTGTCACAAAAGGGGAACACATGACCCTGGGACACTGCAACCGTCGTAAATATGAGCCAGTTTCTAAGCGCCTGAATTTTGATCATGTGACTCCGAGGATGCGGCAATGGACATAAGTGTGGTCACACGTCACTTTTTTTCAGCGCCATTGCAACTTTGAAGGAACCGTTGTAAATAGAGGACTACATGTGACTTTAATTTCCCTTTGTTTCTTTATACGTATTTCTTTATAAGTTTTACAAAAAGCATAAAAACTAAGCAGAAGCAAAAGCAAGAAAGAAAAGAAGAAAGAAAACAGAAGGGCAGAAAGAAAAAAAACTTTTTATTTCCTTTTGTGGCAAATTTATCTTTTTCTATCATTACAAAAAAGTGCAGACATGGCTTGTATTATCGATTTTTTTTTCTTATCATCAAAAAGGCTAATCAGCGTATTTGGGTTTTTTTTTTCAATTTGATGTAAAAAATCTATAAGACGTTAACAGTCAACCATAAATACAGATGTTTTTGTTCCTCAAATAAACAAGTTCATCTCTGCAATTTATGTCCAATAATCCTTGTTGAAGGTAACGCTGAGGATTTTTCAAAATGACCATCAGATCATTAGTGTTTTTTATACAGTAATTAAGACGCTCTGATGCTAAGGGGTTCTACTCCCCCTCCCCACCTAAAAACAACTCTGTTCCAACTGCCAGTTCCTCACATTCCGTTACCTCAGTTCAAAGTGGCAGACGTTCCACTCCTTCACTCAGGTGCCGTCTGAGGCTCCTTACAGGGTACCTCATCAAAATGTCTACGCCTTCCACCTATGAAGCTGCTTCCTGACTCAAGGCGGCGGGAGCGATATTCCCTTATGTGTTTCAATCACCGACAACCACTGAGCCAACAGATTGTGAAGTGAATTTCTCCTGCATAGCCCGATCACATAGTTTCGTTGCGAAGCACAGGTATACAGCTAGTGCTTATCCATAAACCAAAAAAGTCTCTGGTCTGAATTGCAATTAACTTTTAAAACTGTCTGAATTGATGCCTGTAAAGTCACTAAGTCAGCTTTCATGTCTAAAGTGAGACTAGAACTCACAGTCTCCTAGTGATCAGGCCCAAAGTCACCCAGCTGGCTTTCATGCCTAAGGCAGGACTAGAACTCCCTATCTCCTGGTGACTGGCCCAAAGTCACCCAGCTGGCTTTCATGCCTAAGGCAGGACTAGAACTCCCTATCTCCTGGTGATTGGCCCAAAGTCACCCAGCTGGCTTTCATGCCTAAGGCAGGACTAGAACTCCCTATCTCCTGGTGATTGGCCCAAAGTCACCCAGTTGGCTTTTATGCCTAAGGCAGGACTAGAACTCCCTATCTCCTGGTGATTGGCCCAAAGTCACCCAGTTGGCTTTTATGCCTAAGGCAGGACTAGAACTCCCTATCTCCTGTTGATTGGCCCAAAGT